ACCAGGACAAACGCCATCTAACGATGGCATTATAACTAGTTTGACCGTATTTAGATAGTAAAGCTTAAACGAAAATTCAATGCTAGGTAAAAACTTCTTGAAAAGTGCTTGATAAACTTAATAAAATTAATACATTTTTCGATCTTTGCAAGTGCCCTATGACACAAACGGAACAAGTTTTTCCTCTGTATTAGTGATATTTTTCTCGAATCTGTGCCATAGATTTTTTACCACTACGAAGAATTTATTTCATAGAAACAAAAAGTTGGCTGTGTTGGTACGAAATGCGACAGTGACAGAATTTTTTTCTTCTTCATGTGATTTGTATCGGATTGTGTTCATTGGAATTTCAAACTAATTGAGGAGCTGTCTGTATTTCTATGGAAAGTGTTACTGAGTATGGATATGATTTTGCATGAGATTCGCTTGTAATTTTTTAAGGGAATGCGTAGATTTGTATCAATATCATCGTATCCTACCTATACCTTATTGAGTGATGTAAAGTAAATGTGATACCGTATATCCTTGCATCAACTAACTCTGTAGCTATTGAACAACGCAGCGCAACCATGACATGTGCGCCTGAATGTAACGCAAAGGTATGAGTCATGTCGTTTGATCATTCAGATTCTAATTTACATCATGTAAGCGACGGATGATCTGTGGTCAACTTTGGATCGACTTTGAAACGGAATGTGTTTTGTGCGTGCAGCGCTGATGTGAAAATTTTTAAATTTCAACAGCCACGTGGAGTTCTGAATTTGGGCTGCGACACTTACGGCCGCCAGTCAAATATCACTTACAGCCGCACGGCCCAAAGTGACTTATGAGAAAAACACTTATAGCCGCTGTTAAAAATACCTTACGGCCGCTGCAGCTATAAGTACATTTCACAAAAATCACTTTGGGCCGCAATGAAAATGCACTTACAGCCGCGCGGCTCAAACGTTAAATTCAAGCTATTTTACACAATTTAAGGTCGTACACGGTATTACACCGTACTGTAGACTAGTATGTTCGGATGAAGAAGTCGATACTGAGTGAAAGAATGGTGCGATCAACAAAGGTGGGGAGCTCCACAGGACCGAACGAGCGCGCATTATTATTGAATGCAAGTGAATATGGCTTTAAGTGAATCCAAGAAAACTAATGAAATAAACAAGTGGAAATGATGTAATGATAAATTTAGTATAGTTTAAAAGTAATAAAATCGAAGGAATAATATATGATTTCATTGTGTTGTCTTTTATTTTATTTTTATAAAAATATTCGAGACATTTTCATGTGCTGCCACTAATGAGCGGGAAAACAATGCATTAAATGTTACAGATTTTTAATGCATTTCAAATGTTCTTTCATCATCATTGTGCACGTTGTTCCAGGGGTAAATTTTTTATTTACCGCAGTTTTTAGTTTTGTTTATTGTTTCTAATTTCAATTAGTCTGATTAATAACAGATTTTACTCTTCGTTTCCTTCATGTACTTTCTTTTTTTTCCCTTGAACTTCTGGTATGATAACGTTTCTACCTAGGGGGAAAAATCATTTTTTTCATCTTTTATATCCGCACGCATCAAGTAATAACTTAGAAATTTAATGGTATGCATGTAAATCCGAAATATCCATGTATATTCAACAATATTCATCGTGAACGACAAATTAATATTGCTGAATATACATAGATATGCCAAATTTACGTTTATACGTATGAAAAATAAAAATAATAGTGAATCAATCCTTCAACCGTAAATTTGATTGATTTTGGTAGATAACGGTGAATATTGGAACATTTTTGACATTACAGTCTAATGAATATTATTAAATATACATAGATATTTGAGATTGACGTGCATACTAGTAAATTTGTGCAGATTGTATCGTCAAAAAATGTTCCAATTTTCATCGTTATCCACCAAAAACCTTCAAAAGTGGTTCAAATTTTCGGTTGAAGGTTTGATTCACTATTATTTTTATTTTTTCAGAGTTATTTGCGTTCTGCAAAATCGCGTGAAGCCCCTAGGTTTCTACGAATATTTTATAGATAGATAAATGGCTATTAAAATCCCACCTGAAGATGTGAGTTGTAGTTTCATATATTTTTTGTATAAGAATGCTGGTTGAATATTCATTTTATGTAAATATATCAACTGTCAGGAATAAGAGGCATAACATACCGAAGAGTACGCAAAAGTGGCACTTGAACGCATTGCACAGAAAGACACTCTTCATACTGTTGCATTTTGATTTTTCTATCCGTGATTATGATAACAACATCGTTTCTCGTTTTGCATACGACTGTACACAAGTTTATGTTTCTTCGCTCTCCGTTCTTCGCTAAGATTTGCCTTTTATTCTCAACGGTTCATATTATTTAATTCTTAGAATTTTTTATAACATTCATTTCTTGAAATATCAAATTATTTATTCAAGAATTCGTTACTGACCGATGATGATTCTTCCCAGAATGGAAATATTCAGCGATCGGTTGCTCCCATACGCCGGGATCACACTGCTTCCGTTTCTTCCGAACGAAATAGCAACATATTTTCACCAGTTGTCATAGGTAAGTTTAGTTTTGGCCTACCTTTTATATTTCGTGTCATAATGTTGCAACTAACCATGACTATGAATAATCAATTTTGGACGTTTTGAATGGTTGCTGAATGCTGACTGATAAAAAGTAATTTCTTCGATAAAAGAAGACAATTGTAAATAACTTCAGTTGAATATAAGCCCAAAGTCTGCTATCCATATATTATATATAACAAAATCAAATGAATACATTTGGTTTTCATCATTCTCATCGCAGTCTCGATTTTGGCCATTTTAGCGGTGGCTATAATCGCTTGGTTTTCGATCTTGCCCGCCATGCCCATTAGGAATACAACTTATGATGTGAGTTGGTGTGTTGGATATTGTTTTTATTAAAATGATGATTCAATATACATTTTATATAATATATTTATAATTGAACAATTGCGGCAAACAAATTCGCGACAAACTAATTCCCTCAGAATATTTTAGTTTTAAAGTGCAACATGATTTTTTTTTCATATGGAGTTGTTGTTATAAACTCTATATAAAAAAAAATTCAAGTTGCACTTTGAAACTAAAATATTCCGAGGGAATTTGTTTGTCGCAATTGTTCAAATATATTAAGTGTCAGGAATAAAAGGCATACCTTATCGAAAAGTACGCAAACACACAGAATATAAAGCCAGGAATATCGATAGGTTTACCAGGAAATTTGACATTTCCATACACATTTTCACGGTATCACATCATATTTACCGGCGTAGTGATGAAGTGATACCGTGAAAATTTATATAGCATACTAGCGTCTGCTTCAAAATGGATCCTAATTTCAATGAAAATGAAATTGAATCAGATCAATAACAACCAATTGATAACGACACACAAAGTCAAAGTGATGATGAGCCTGATGCGCAGATCGGAACCGAGGACGACACCGGAAGCTATAACAGTGACGCCTATAGTTATCATAGTGACGACATACGCACTGAAGACGGTGAAGACAGTGATGACTTTGACGACAGTGATGACGACGTCGAAGACGCAACGTTTTTCATCGATTTGGAACCTTGCTTCATTGAAATGGATTGTTACTGTTGACCAAACTGCGTTAAAAAAGTTTATTTGGATAAGTAAAAAATATATAGTAACTAGCGATTCCCGCACGCTTCGCTACGCGAAAGAAAAACAGAAAAAAACAAATTTTCTTAATATATTCTGGACGGATAATGAGTTAATGAATTAAATTAACAAATTGATGGCT